CGTGCGCCGTGTTCTTTGTTGAGTTTGCCGTCTTCATCCCATATACGTACATCTCGTCGTATGCCATCCACCAGGGCTGGTCGCTGCAGGACTCGTTCTTGCTCAATACTGTGCTCAACGCGGGCGCCATACCGGGCCGCATGCTGCCAGGTTATGCCGCGGACCGCATTGGCGCATTCAACACGATGTGCATCACCTCGATGCTATGCGCGGTCTTGGTGCTTGGTGTCTGGCAGACGGCAGGAGCAAGCAGGTCTGCAATCATGGCCTTCACCGCGCTGTTTGGATTCTGGTCCGGCGCAGCCATCAGCCTGGCCCCCGTCTGCGTGTCCAGGGTGTGCAAGATCGAGGACTACGGCAAGGCCAACGGCATGGCGTACTTTGTCGCGAGCTTTGGCGCGCTGATAGGCATCCCGATCGCTGGAGCGCTGCTGGGAAGCGAGCACGACCACTACCAGACCTTGATACTGTTCGCAGGCAGTGCGTATGTCCTGGCGTTCATCTCGTTTGTGATCGCGAGAGGTGTCGCTGGCGGGTGGAAGTTCTCATGGTATTAAGTTGACGGCAGATTCTGGTGTCAAGCATTTGAGTGCAGCCATGGAACGTTCTCTACCTGGTGACATGCGACGTTTTACATGAACATATGGCGCAAATATTGGCGTTGTGCTTTAGTGCTTGGTCCTGCACGGAGGTTGCAACATGGCATTTCGATGTCCAGGCGGCCGGCTACGCCATCCGGCGATGCGGATCCCACATTTCGGACGCCGGACAGCCGCGCCGCCTAGCTCAGGTAGCGGGGCAAAATGCGATTTGGACGATCACCTCAGGAGAGGGCAGCCTACAGGCCATATGTTGCTGCTTGTCAGTCGGAGTGTGCATCTTGCGTTCGTTAGGACTGTCGTTACTCAGCCCGATGCCAGCCGTGCTGCGCAGATGCCACACTGACACAGTGGTGAGACGTGTGCACCATTCTCAGTTGGGGCAGCATCGGCAATGCATATGCCTGGTGGTGTAGAGCCCGGGGTCAATACAACTTGTGCTGCCCACTGAGGCGGGTGTTGTGGCTCAGGTGGTCCAAAGTCGAGAACCGCGTTGACAGCGGGGGAGAGAGCGGCTCACATAACACAGCACCAGTACCAATGTCCGTAACGCTGCGAAGGATGCTCCTGACACGAGAACTGCCTGCCTGCTCGAAAATGAACACGAGATTGGGTGCGGGTCTTGAAAATCTCGCAGGCCTGAGATCTGCCATTGCCAGGGCCCCGTGCACCGCTTACCTAACGCATCTCCCCCGGCGAATCATGCTGAGGTGCCAGCATAGATGCGCGTAATGAGTGGTGCAAGAGTGCGGCTGGGAGTGGGTCCGGGCCCGCCCCATCGCTCCTGCCTCCTCGCTCCCAGTGCCGCAACTGCCTCCTTTCCCTGTTTCGTTTCCTGCGCCTGCCAGGTCCAGGATTCCAGTGCCAACACCGCATAGCAACCACGGGGCACCACACCTCCAACCTCTCTCCCTCGCTTCACTTCTGCCCGTCACCCACGCTCGCTACGCCCGTCCAGACTCGACGCACGCCGTCTTCGTCACCGCGGCCGGTCCTCTGTCCCACCCGCCACGCCTCTCCCGCGACTCGAAGCCAACCCAGACCCTAGTCGAGCCATCCACTGGAATTTCGCCCCAGCATTCTCTTGTTTATCGCCCTTTCAATCATCCTCACCAACGTCGACGTCGTCGTCACCGACACACCGAGCAGTCCACATCTGCAGCGACCGGTACGACCACAAAGTTCCGATATTGTTGTCGATCCTGATCGCCGTCGCTTTGCGCCTCGAGATCCCGGCATCGACCTGATTCGTTCTCAACGGGCCAACCTCCAGTCGAATCAAAAGTTTACGCCGTCGGTGATTCTACGATAACCCTCATATATATACGCCCTCATTTGCCACTCTTGTCAAGATGGGCGGGTTCGGAGACTTCTCGACAATTTGCCGGCTGGCACCTCTGCCACTATGTGCTTCCGTCGGTCCCATCACTGCCGTCTCGAATGGTGTCGGTGTTCCGACAGACTGCTTCGCTCGCAACATTGAGCTTGCCAACACCATCATCTTCCAGGGCGCCTCAAGTGTTATTCACATTGTCGCGCTCGCCATGACAGTCATCATGATTTTGCACATTCGCGGCAAGTTCACAGCCGTTGGTACGTTGAACAATTCCTATTGGAGACACCGGGGCAGCAAGTCACTAACCAGTCTCCCACGATGCAGGTCGCAAGGAGATCCTTGCCGTCTTCTACATCTATATGCTGCTGTCTTTCTTCTCGCTTCTTGTTGATGCTGGTGTCGTACCGCCGGGCCACAACGCCTATCCAATCTTCGTCTCCATTCAGAATGGCTTCAGTTCGGCGCTCGTCACCTGCCTGCTCATCAACGGCTTTGTCGGCTTCCAACTGTACGAGGACGGCACGCCGCTCTCGGTCTGGATGCTGAGACTCTGCTCAGCTGTCGCCTTCATCATCTCCTTCCTCGTCTCCCTGGCCACGTTCAAGGACTTCGCGGGGATGGGTCCTACCAACACGATCGGCCTCTTTGTTGTTCTGTACATTCTGAACGCTGTGCAGCTCGTCATCTACGTTATCCTGCAGACTCTGCTGGTACTTCGCACACTGCAGGATCGCTGGCCTATTGCTGTCGTCATCTTCGGCGTTTTCTTCTTCGTTGTCGGCCAGGTCATCCTCTACGTTTTCAGCAACGGCATCTGCGAGTCGGCTGACCACTTCCTTGATGGTCTGTCCATCGCTACGACCTGCAACCTGCTCGCCATCATGATGGTGTACAAGTACTGGGATTCCATCACCAAGGAGGATCTCGAGTTCTCAGTCGGCACTCGGATGAACAACTGGGAGATTAAGGAGCTCCTGCCGGAAGACGACCGCCGTAACACAGTCTACACGAACGACGACCCATACTCTCACTCGAGTGCTTACGACCAGCCTTTCTCGCCGTCCACAACACATCACCAGCACGGCAGCTCTCGCCCTTCTCGCTACTAGTTGGACGGGATTGCTGAATGAAGCTTTCACCCCGTATTTCGTGCGGCTCCTATTTACCTCTATTTTTGTTCTTGCATATTTGCGGTACGGCGTTATGGGCTCGGGCTTGAGCTTCGGGGTCAACAAACATGCGGTTTCTGTTGAAGGCTGTAGCATCACGACGCTCGCCTCTTTTTGGGCTCTGTCCTATGTCACGACACAGTTGGGATTATATCATATATAGCGGGTGCGCCTGTCAGCCTCTGACTGAGGAATTTTTCTGGCGAAGGGAGAGTGAAGAAAAATTATCGACATTCGAAGATAGCATTAGCGTAAATAATAATAATTGCTTCTATAATCGCAGTGTCCCCCAGTAATCTCGTGACTGGTGCCGAACCTTGGTGGGTTTGCGGATAAGTTACTTGTGGATATCTAAACCTCGCTGATGTGCATGTGTGCTCGTGTTGTACTGTAGCTAGACCAACTACGCTGGTGTCCGTGCAAAGCCTGTTCACTCTGGGGACGGCGTCATGTCAGAGGCAGTTCCTATAATGCCATAAAGTGTAGTCAGTGCCAGTGGTCGGATGGCGGTTCTGCCTTGCACAGGACACCGTCATCCACATCGCTTGTGTCCTGCCTATAAAGCACCTCTCTTGACGTGCATACTGCCAGCCCGCAGGCGGCGCAATAGAGGCAAGCGTGCTATCGAGAGGCGCGCCGACGGGCCACTGGGCTCCTTGCTTGGAACGCTGGTTGTAGACGCGTGAGCACGGTGGACCGCTCGCCTGTGTGCTCTGCTGCCTTGGCTGCGTGCCGAGGTTGACATGTACATGTGTGTTTGTGTGTCGGGCGATCTTTTCCGTGTCCGAAGGGGAAGGGGGAAAAAATCGAGTATGGGCTTTCCGTTCAGCCAGCTTCCTCATCGTCGCCAAAGCTAAGTTTGATCTTCTTGGCTTTCTTCTTTGTCTTTGTGCCGGTTGCTGTTGTCTTTATTGTCGTTGTCGTCGCCGTCGTGGTCGTGGACGTGCTGTGCCCGGCGTCACCGTTCGGTCCTTGAGTTGTACCTTTCGTGATGGCACCCTTGGAGCGCGAGCCGTCGACATTCTCGCCGTCGTCCTCGCTGCCGTCCCCAACAACACGACCAACTTTGCGCTTCTTCTTCACCGCGGCGCCAATGTCAGCAACCCTCTCCTCCTTGCCATCGCCCGTCTCCCCGCCCTTTCCCCCCTTGCCCTGCCCGCTGAGCCCCTGCTTATCCTTGCCACCTAGCACACCATCCCGTGCCTCGGCCTCTTCGTCATCATTCCCATAACCATCACCACCGCCGTCCTGCCCCGGCAGGCTGACGACGTTGCCCTGCTCGTCCACCACGAGCGGCGCGTCCTCGGCCTCCTCGCTCGCGCTGCGCTTCTTGCCGCCCGGCCGCCGGCGCGCCGCGAGCATGGGGTCCGGCCCGCCATCGCGGTCGCTCGCGGCGGAGTGCTGCCCGTGCAGGCGCGCGAGGAAGGGCGGGAGGGTGCCGTCGTAGGTGAGGTTGCGCGCGTTGATCTTTGGTTCCGGCATCGCTCGCTAGATGTGGTGGTGGTTGTGGTGCTGGGTGCTGGTAGGTCTTGCCGTGGGCGGGAGGGGGTTTGGAATTGGTCGCGGGTCGGTGTTTGCAGGGACCTCTTTGCAGGATGTCTGGCTCGCTGAGGCGTCGAGCGTTGTCAGGCTCAGGGTAGGAAGTGTGGAGGAGGTGGGAGCTTGTTCTTTCCTGTCTCCAGCTAAAAAAGATTCAGGGTCGTTGTGACGTCGGGTCAGTTTTCTCGCTTTAGCCGGCACGGCGGCTGGCAAGGGACCCCTGGAACTCGAAACACTTCCCACGCCATCAAACATACGCTGCGGCCCAGACCAAAAGCTCACGACGCGCATGATACATATAGCACAAGTGCGCGATCCGCCCAAAATGTTCAAAGGTCGGGATGACGGCAAAAGAAACTCCGAATCGGGGAATCGAACCCCGGGCTTGACGGAACAGATGGATCCTCAGAAGAGGAGGCAAGTGAGAGCGTCAAATGTTAGCCACTACACCAATTCGGATGTGATTGGATGAAAGCTGAGAGCATTAGGAGCGCATATAATCGTGAGAAGACTGCACCAAATAGGCCTGAGGAGGACTGGAAACCTCCTGATCTGCTACGTGATGCTGCTTGAGGAAATGACGAAAACAGAGATGGAAATGATCAAGGTAGGAGGAGACTTTGTTCCCTCCGCTCAGTTCTCCTTCTCCATCCCGTCCCGCAGGACCTCAATCTGCTTCTTGATCTCGACCCAGAGCTCCAGCTCGTCGAGGTCCTGGTCCGCGTCACTCGTACAGACGCTCATCCAGCCGTCGTCGCCCTCGTCTTCGACAGCACCACGAGCCTTGCGAACGTTGAGCGCGTCGGCCCTCTTGGGCTTTAGCCGTAGCTCGCTTAGATCCTCCAATACCTCCTTCTCGCCATCATCACCGCCATCGTCGCCGTGCGAGGGGTCATCGGCGCGCTTCCGCGCGAGCGCGAGCAGCGCCGCGACGAAGGCTTCTTGCATATACGCGAAACTGAAGTCGTCGGTAATCTCGGCGATGGCGTTGCACAGCTTGTCCGGGAAGACAATGTCCTTGTTCTTGTGCAGCTTGCGTTGCCAGAACTTGCAGTACGCGACGCGTTGCTCAAGGATGGGGTCCGGGAAGAGATACTTCCTGTCGAACCGAGATGGGCGTTTCTGCGGGGCGAGTTGTTAGTTTGCAAGGCTCTACGGAACTGCACCGAGGTGTCTGGAAGCACGAAGCACGAGAGGAAACGTGGAGACACTCACAGAGATGCCAGGGTCGAGGCGGTCGAGGTGGTTTGTGCTGCCGATCATGAAGATGCCGTCATTGTTCTTCAGGCCGTCGACCTCGTTCAGAAAGTAACTGCGGACAGACGGGGTGATGATGGTGTCCAGGTCCTCGAGGACAAGGTAGCAGGGAGCGAACTCTCGAGCCTTGTTGAATATCTGTTTTACAGAGTACTCAGGTCCGCCGTACTGGAAACAAATTGCACAGAACGCGCGAAGAATCAGCCAAACGTGCGCTCACTGCAAACGTAGACACCACTCGAATAGCACCTACAGAGGCGAGACTCCTCACGTAGAGGGTGTTGATTCTGGGCTTGCGCTCGTAGAGCATGCGCATGGTGGCCTTGACAGAGATTGTCTTGCCGTTGCCAGGCGGGCCGTAGTAGATGACGCCGCGCTTCCACGGGACCGAGAGGTTGGCGTAGGTCTCGCGGGAGTCAAAGAAGGAGTTGTGGTCGTCGATGATGGCCTTCTTCATGGCCGGATCAAGGATGACGTCCTCCCACGAGGATTTGATGAAGCTGCGGAACAGCTCAGTGTCCTTTTGCCAGTAGCCCTGGTCGAAGACCCATACCTGCTCGTGGATGTCGCTCATCCAGCGGCCAGCTGCGAGGACCAGCTGCTCGGCTTTGTTATGGTCCGGGCCCAGGATGAAGGCATTGGAGGTCATGGGCGGGTACAGGGAGTTGCTGCCCACGCAGACGTACACGATGAACTCGGTGCTGCCCCATGTGTAGATGAACTTGCCAAACTCGAGCCGCTGGCCTAGCCCGCCAGTGTTGCCATCCATGCGGCGAGCAGGGGCAATGTACGAGGTGTAAGTCACGTTTGATGGCAGGGAGGCATCAGTGTCCTCCTCGGCCACAGCAGTGCAGCTAGCGTAGCCTGCCGCGGCGTAGGCCAGCAGGTTGGTCGAGTTCTGGTCGGCGACAACCAATTCGAGATTGGGGTACTGCTTCTTGAGAGTCCGAACCATGACATCGTCCGTGTTGACGCGTTTGGCCTCGGAGTGCTCAAAGAAGGCGGCGGTGGCATTCGACGGGCCGGAGGCGGCCGCCCACGCGGCGGAGGACGGAATGGGCGCCATGTTGGACCGGACAGCTCAGCTTCGGCGGGCGATGGGGAGAGGAAGGAATTGAGGTGCTGCTCAGTCTTGTCGGCAGGGTGTTCAGTGTCTCTGGGATTGAGCCGGACACGAAGTGATGCAGCAAGCTCGGGATGAGCTGATATCGAGGCTCCCCTAAACAGCTGCCTGGAGGATCAGCGGGAGCGCTTGCATCGCTCCGCGGGCAGCACGGCCCCTGCCGCTTGGCGGACCACCTCTCCGCACTCGAGCCTCCCCGCCCGCCCAGTGGGAGCCACCACTGACGGGATCCGATGCGGAGAACTTCCCCAAAGGAACACGGCCTAAAAATAAACCAAACATGTTGATGATGCATTCCATACACAACGGGGCAGACAGCACACAATGTGCAACTTTGTGTGTCAAGGTTGTTTAGATGATCGTCTAAGATGCCCCTGGGACATCAACACTGTCTGGTACCTCTGATGCAAGTGGGAGAACAATTGAGCCCCCATGTACCTTAAGGTACACAAAGATATGCAGCATGCCGACCGCCGTGATAGAGCTTGGTCTTGGGCACCAGCGTTGCTGCTAGGTAAACTTTAGGAATCAAGTCTCCACCAAGGGTTACCCGTCCCGCATGTTCCACATGTGGCTTTTCGCTCATGCCTCTCTGTTTTTCCTTGATTGTATCCTCATAGCCCAGAGTCTGGCCAACGTCGACCGAGTCAATCAGTTTCTCCCCCCCAAGCAGGCATGGAATCGGCAAATAGGCCCCCTCAGCAGCAGGGCCATGGCATAGCAAGCTCTCCCCGCGGTGAGACAGAGGACAACGCTCGAACGGTATACAACTACCACCGCATGTCGCTTTCTCTTCCCGAATCGGCCGACGCCGTCTTCTGTCTCTGCAGCCTCGACACACGCGTGGCCCGGCGCGCAGCAGAGCTCTTCCTCTCAGGCTACTCAGCGCACGACAAGAACAACTCCAAGTACAAGTATTTGATCTTCTCGGGGGGGTCTGGCAAGCTGACCGAATCCCGCTTCGACAAGCCCGAGGCTGAGATTTTCGCCACCATCGCCTGCGGCATGGGCGTTCCTGGCGACGCCATTATCGTCGAGCCCCGGTCCACCAACACGGGCGAGAACGTGCGCTTCACCTGGGCCCTGCTAGACTCTCTCGGCATCCCGCCGCTGCGGTCCCTGATCCTCGTGCAGAAGCCGTACATGGAGCGCCGTACATACGCGACATTCAAGAAGCAGTGGCCCGACGCCGCGGCGGAGATATCCGTCACCTCACCGCAGCTCGAGTGGGAGGATTACCCGGACACAGAGAACCCACGGGATTTGGTGATCAGTATTGCAGTCGGTGATCTAATTCGCATCCGAGAGTATCCAGCCAAGGGGTTCCAGATAGAACAGGATATACCAGACGAGGTCTGGGAGGCTGGGCAGCAGCTCGTGGCTGCCGGATACAACACGCACTTACCCTGAGACGCCTGCCGGTTTCCACCACCATCGCTTGAGTTGTGGCGGAGTGGCTCTGGGCCTGCGAGGCGACCTACCCAAGCATCGCAAGCCAACAAACCTGGCATAGACCGTAGGAAGACATTACGTTCCGGTACGGTACTCTGTATTTTAGATGACCTGAACAAGACGCACTTGTCTGAAATAGTTGCAGATGTCTTTGTCGTTGGTATGGACTAAACATGTCTGAAGGCGCTCCGAGGTCGGCTGGGCTGGCACGATCAGATAAGATGCCCTGGAGGCCGCTAGTCACTAGCGCTGCAACTCCACCACCAGGGGTCACACATCACCTGCGCGCGTCACCACCCGCCTGCCGGGACAGCCGTGAACCCCGGGACCCAACGTCCTTCAAATCCACGATCTGATGGACAGTCTTTCTTCAACACTGGCCAAGTTGTAAACTGGTCACAGACACGAGCCATGGAACACGCACCGAGCCGCTGGCTTCTCAACGTCCTGGGGCAGGTCTCCAGGGCGTCGCACGCGGCCTCGACTGTCGACAGCGTCATGTCTGGGATCACCCCATCAGCCGAGCTTCCCGGCAGCGATAACGGTGGTCGCCCAACCCCCGAGCAGCTCGCCTTCATCCAGCGTCTTGTCTTGCATCTTCTCGAGGGACGCAAACTCATCGGGTCGTACAATGTCATACTGCTTGGGTGCCTGGCAGTCTTCACAGCATGTCATTTCATCGGCGTGGCCCGCGACACAAGGAAGCAGAGGGAGCTTGAGCCCATCAACTCGTCCGAGACATCCGGCAGCGAACACTCATCATCCGCCAGCAGCACCCTCGAAGGGTCAACAGACTCGACCGACTCAGTCACCAAAGCACAGCCAGATGTCGAGCGTCAACCCCTTCTCGGCCGGCGACGCCAACGGCGACAGCCATGCACAAGACCACTGCAGCTCCTCCGCGGGTGGTTGCTCTATCAGCCGAAACCCATCCCAATCATCGACAAATCACTACCCTCCAATGAGACATCCTTACTCATTCTCGCCTTCCTCGGGCTGAACGCGTTCTACCAGTGCTATCACATCCCGACGGACCCCGAGCTGCTCTTCATTGTGGCCGACCGCGCAGGCCTCGTCTTCGTCGCTAATTTGCCCCTGCTGTACCTGCTCGCCGCCAAGAACCAGCCAGTCACAAAGCTGACCGGCTACTCGTACGAGTCCCTCAACATCCTCCACCGCAGAGTCGGCGAGCTGCTGTGCTTTGAGGCCCTCGTGCATGGCGGCTGCATGGTCATCTGGGTCCTCTGGACAGCGCCCCTCTGGCTCCGGGAGCGCTTCGCCAACTTCTTCAACACGTGGCTCGTCATTCTCGGCCTCGCCGCTCTGGCTGCGTATGAGTTGCTCTACTTCACCTCGCTCGGCAGCTTCCGTCAGCGCTGGTACGAGCTCTTCCTTGCGTCGCATGTCTTCCTGCAGGCCTTTGCACTCGCGGTGCTGTGGCTGCACCAGCACAACACAAGACCGTTTGTCGGTGCCGCGCTGGTGATCTTTGTCTGTGATAGGTTGATATGGCGGCTCACGCTCAAGTCCGCGACGCTCACCGCGGACCTGAGCGTTCTTGACGACGGGGAGACAATCCTCGTGTCTGCGGACTGGGATATCCCTGACACTACCATCGCAGAGCAGA